TACCATACCATGCCACCCTTCCTTCTGTGCTGCTGCCTTCAGAGCTGGGCGGTCAGAGGGTGGTGGCTGCTGACTGAGGGCCCAGCTCTGCAGGCAGCAGCGCAAAAGGAAGGGTGGCAATACCATACCCTGCCATCCTTAATTCTGTGCTACTGCTGGCAGTAGCTCTGCCTTCAGAACTGGTCTCCCAGCCAGCAGCCTCCGCTCTCCAGCTGCCCAGCTCTGAAGGCAGCGCAGAAGTAATGGAAGCAATACCGCAACCCCCCTACAATAACTTTGAGACCGCCACCCCCAACTCCTTTTTGGGTCAGGATCCCTATAATTACAACATTGTGAAATTTCAGATTTAAATAGCTGAAATCATGAAATTTACGATTTTTAAAATCCTATGACTGTGAAATTGACCAAAATGGACCATGAAGTTGGTAGGGCCCTACTAATGAGGAAAGGGAACCCTGGGACTGAAATACCACCAGCAGGTGCATGCCCTATTCAAGTGGCAGCTGCTGTCTCCTAGGGTTTTGTCTTTCCTCCTGAGTCGTGAGAGCTCAAGGTGCCAGCAAGGCTGGGACAGGGAATTTCCTCCCTCCCTTCCCCTCCCTTCTTTTCTGTAATGCCGTCAGGGCCAAACTCTATCTCTGGGCCAAACTCGCCAAGCTCCTGGGGTAACAAACCAAAATCATCTGATGGAGGGAGGGACTGAACAGTTCAGGGGATTTGGCCTGTGATCTGGAGCCTTTATGCTCACAATTACGAACTACAGTCAAGCCCAGGCCCTTGCCATCGGATTGTGATTTGGTGGCCTGCCTGAAATGGGCAGGGTGGGGTGGCCTCACTCCAGATCCCGGTGGATAAATGTCCACTTTGCAGACCCCAGCAGCACAGACTGTACTAATTGGCCTCTTGCTGCCATTCTCAGGGGTGACACCAAGGACCGAATGGGTCAAGAAGTATGAAGTCCCCTCTCATCCCTCAGGGCAGTCCCTCTGAGGCAGAGTTTAGGTACCTTGGAGAGTGTGTCTGAGAAGTTGCTCTGTCCCTGGCTATGCTGTCCTGAGGGTAAACAGAGGCCTTCGGGCTCCAGATGGTGCCAGTCCAGTACCTTGCACTGGCACTAAATGTACTTTAAAAGGGTGTGGGGAAGGCTAGGGAGTGTGTGGCCAGGGCAGGGCATCAGGGAGGCCAAGGGAGTAGGAGGCTGTTAAGCAGATTACGCTATCTGAGTCTGAAGCAATTGTTTGTGACGGGTGCTTGCCAGATCGAGAAGGACCTGCTCCGCACCATGCCCAGCAACGCCTGCTTCTCCAACATGAACAGCATCGGGGTGCCACGACTGCGCAGGATACTCCGGGGACTAGCCTGGCTTTACCCAGAGATCGGATACTGCCAAGGCACCGGCATGGTAATTCCACTTGCCCCTGCTTTGTGTTCCTTCATTAGGGATCATTCTTTCCGCAGTAGGTGAGTCAGCGCAGCTGATTTCAGGCAGCTGCAGTGCAGCTGGGCACCATGCGAACCAAATTAGATCAGAGGAACAGACAAAATGGAGCCATTTCGCGGGGCAGGAGAAATGGAAGGAATAATTCTGCTCATGGGCTAAACTAATCTGTTTGTGGCAGGAGAGTGATATTGTTTATTTGATTGACATGAGACTCGGCTGATGTGACTGAAATAGCAAAGAATCTCTTCGGGTGGCGTGTGAAAGAAATTCCACCAATAGGAGAAAGCAAAGCAAAGCTCCTGGGTGTGGAAATGAGGGATGTTTCCATCTCCTAAACTCTGGACTTTGTCCATCTCCCACACAGACCTATGGAAATGTTCCACTCCACCTAAGCACCAGTGAATGTCCCATTTAGTGCAAGCTTGGAATGAACATCTCTTCTTCCCCTTCTCACTAGGTGGCGGCTTCCCTGCTGCTCTTCTTGGAGGAGGAAGATGCCTTCTGGATGATGTGCGCCATCATCGAGGACCTGGTACCTGCCTCCTACTTCAGCACCACGCTGATGGGAGTGCAGACCGACCAGCGCGTCCTACGCCACCTCATCGTGCAGTACCTGCCACGGCTGGACAAGCTCCTTCAAGAGCATGATATTGGTAAAGGGGCCCCTCAGGTCATTGAATCTTCTGACCCAGGGTGCTGCTTTCAGCCTGCAGGCATGACCCAGGCTCATGCGTATGTACATGCGTATGCATGCGTGTGTGTGTGTGTATAAGAGAGGCCTATGTACTGCACAGCACCTTAAACTGAAATGATATGGTAGGAACCCACAATTGTGAGGCTGCTCCCACAATACCCCTCTCCCTCTCCAGCCGAATACACTCAGTAAAGTGTCCCTTGGTTCACGTGGCAGTGATGAATTCAGTGTATTCTTGTTGCTCCATACTCTGTTTGATATGCTGCAGGGCTTGACGATGCAGAGCTGCAGCATTGTGGTTGTGTTTTGGGAGAAGCTGTTGGTTTGAGGGTTGGACTGGACTTAATGGGGGGCTTTTATCACCCAGGAATGCCTGGGAGTCTTGTGTTTGGGGGTTTTTGACAACCCAGGAGGTCATGGAGGCTTTGGCGCTGGGATGGGGAGATGCAGCATCTCTCCCTCTCTCCTGTTTGGGGGCCGCAGGGAGGGACATTAAACTTTTGAGGAGGGGGAGGTTTGAATTCCTGGTGTATGGCTGTGGCTGTGCGTACGCGCGCACAATGTCGCATGTGGTTTTGGACGTTCTGATTGAGTCTTGTTTAAAAGGGGCACTGTCATATCTTAGGTCCCAAGAAAATGGCCTTATTCCTATGACTGTTTTATTTTACTAAACACAACGCATGTGAGCCTCTCCCCGCCCCCCCCCCGACGTCCCCCGGAGCTGTTCATGCGCTGACTGATGTCATCAGAGTTGTCCTCCTTTATAGTCATGGTGGCTGGAGAATCCCCTGGGAATGAGGAGTAGTTGAGGGTGTCCCTTTCAGGCTGGGAGTGCGGTTCTGTGTGGGCTCTCTTCCTCTCTGGTCACCCGATCACTTGTGTCACATTCCCTTTCTGTCTCTTCACACACAGAGCTGTCCTTGATCACCCTGCACTGGTTCCTCACGTGCTTCGCTAGCGTTGTGCATATCAAACTGCTGCTGCGCATCTGGGACCTCTTCTTCTACCAGGGTTCGCTGGTGCTCTTCCAGGTCACACTGGGCATGCTCAGTATGAAGGTAACAACCACCTCCTGTGCCCTGATTTCTAGCACCCTGGCTTTCTCTTCAGGAACGAGGAGGATTCTAGGGGTGGGGCCCTTCTGTACCCCCTGGTTGTATCTGGTTCAGGAGTTCACTTTGGGGAGAGCGAGAGCTGCCATCTTGATTTCCTCAGAATCTGGGGCTGTGAAGGGCGTCCTGGCAGAAGGCAGTCAGCAATCCATTGTTTGAGATTTGGGAGACTCAGTCAAGAAGATGGCTTCCCTTTCCTGCTCTTTTTCCCCCTCACCTTCACGCCCCATGTCTCACCATCACCCTCCCTCATTTGCTACACCCCCCTGACTCCTGAGCCCAGAGTAACACAGACTGGAGACTTGTCCTGCCCTCCCTGGCTCCAGAGAGTTCTTGGTTTTTTACTATCTTTGGATGGAGATGTCAAACCAAGTTGCTGACCATTTGGGGATGATAAAAGATCCTTTGGTGCTGTTCACACAAGCCCCAGGGTGTTAGCCCTGTTGTTGTGGCCATATTTAATTTGGGTGATTACCCTAAACTTTCTCCCATTCAGAATTCAGAGGAAGTTATTCTGTGACTCTCTTGTGTAGCATTGCTGGTGCAAGATGGCGATTGTGCAGCACCTTGAGGTGCCTGCGTTTCTGTGGTGGATGAAGTGATTTCTGTATAATGTGCTGTGGGATCCTTTGGTATGAAAGTGCTAGAGCAGTGTGAGATGCTGCTGCCATCTCCTGACCAAACAGCTTGGACTTTTTCTTATTGACACTTTTAAGAAATAATCTAGTTGCTTCCGGGTTAAATTTTGTGCCTAGACTGCATTCTGAGGTGTAAGCAGGGCTTTTAGCAGTCCTGGTGAGTGTCACTGACATCCTCAGCGTATTGTGTATGCGTGGTTTCTCCCCATTCCCGCAGGAAGATGAGCTAATCCAGTCGGAGAATTCTGCCTCCATCTTCAACACACTCTCGGACATCCCGTCTCAGATCGAGGATGCGGAGGTGCTGCTGCGGGAGGCCATGCGCGTCGCTGGCTCACTGACAGACATGGCAGTGGAGACCCAGCGCCGCAAGCACCTGGCTTACCTCATCGCTGACCAAGGGCAGCTGCTCAACCCCAGCGCCGCTGTCAATAATCTATCCAAGGTGGGTGCATGGAGCCCTGCCCATTTGGACTGTTAGGGGCTGTAGATCCCCTTCGTGACACTGCCTTATGGGCTAGCTGGCCATCCACCCTTATAACACTCTGTTAGCACGAGGCCACCCTGCATTAGCAGGCTTTGACTCCATGATAAACTTCCCTTCTCTCACCTTCCCAGGGAGGAGGAGTGAGTGCTAGGACTGTGATGGGAATGTGACCACATGTACTGTTCTCACTGCCAGGAGGCCATGCTACCAGACCTCCCACACCTGCCACAGCCACCAGACCTCCCACACCTGCCACAGCCAGCCCACGCAAGAGGAATCTCAGCAACCGGCTAAGCACTAAACGCTGCCTTTCACTCTCTCCGTGGAATGAATTAATTTTGTGTTGCAATAGATCCATGGGTCATCTCCTGTTCTCCCCCTCACCAGCCAGTGTTTGACTGTTATTGTGCTTTGTTCAATCCTGTTCTGAGTGTCCCTGATGGTGATCATCCACCCTTAGATTAATCCACAGCCTGATAGATCCCACTCTCTGAAATCATTCCTGCTGGTCCTCTTGCTCAGAGTGCTTTGGTTACTGCCCATTCTGTCTGGGACCACTCCGAACAGTTCCCCTCTCTCCTTGCAGTGTACACCCCTCAGAGACTTGCTGACGGTCGCTGTATCCCCTTGCCCTACTCTAGCCCCTATATGCCAATCTATATGTGTTTAGTTCTTCTAATGTCTCCTTACGAGTCCACTCTGTCTCACTCCCCCCCCCCCCTTCAGATTGTGCGGCGCAGGACCCAGCGCAGGAAATCTGGCATCACCTCGTTGCTTTTCGGTGAGGACAAGTGTGTTCCTTGCATGTTGTGATGGTGCTATCAGGGTGGAGGGTGAAAGAATAGTCTGGAGGCAGAGGAGTGGTTGGGCACGGGGAAATGGAGTGGGTGAAAATTCCTTCAGCAACAAGAGAAGATAAAGCAAGGGAAGAGATTGAATGAGGAGGAGAGAAGGGAGTTGAACTTGCTGAGTCTGCACTCCCCAAAACAAGAAGCAGACTTTTCCTGATAGCCCAGGAAGAAGCGTGCTTTGGTCGTTAGCCCTTAACCTTCTTGCTCCAGGTTCAGCCACCCCCAAAATATGAAGCCATTTAGGACGGGAATATCCAAAGTCCCTCTTTTTACTCCTGGGGGAATTCTGCACCACTGTGCATGCGCAGAATTTATGTCCCCTGCAGATTTCTTTGCTTCCCCACAGAAAAATGACTTTCTGATGGGGAAGCAAAGGGAAGCCACAAGAGTGGTCGTACAACCTTCCCCAGCAGTATGCCAGGTGCCCATGGTAGCCAGCAGAGAGGTAAATCATTGTGGGGCAGGAGGCAGGACTGGGGAGGACTTGGCTGGGCTGGGGAGGACGGGATTTCCCCTTCCCCTGCATGGCATCTGGGGCTGTCGGACCCACCCCCAGATTTCTCCCCCAGCTATAGGAAGCTCTGCAAACTGCCCCCCTCCTCCTCCGCATGCGCTTCCTGCACCCATCGCTCCTCAGCAGCAGGGGGAGGGATCACTACAAGGAGCTGCTCCCCCATCCGCCCAACTCCTGTGCATCCAGATCCTCCTGCCGAGCCTCACTCCCTCCACACCCAGAACCCCCCCTGAGAAGCCCCACTCCCCCTGCACCTGGACCACCGGACAAGCCACCCTACCGAGCCCCAACCAGCTGCCCCTGGATCCCCACCCCACTGAGCCCCACTCCCCCAGCATCTAGGCTCCCCACACCCAGACCCCCCCACTGAGCTCTAACCTCCCCCACTGAGCCCCAGCCCCCCTCACCCCCCCTGCAGAGTCCCATTAATGTTGCACCCAGAACCCTCCCACAAGCCCCTGTGCATCCAGATCCCCCACTGAGCTGCCTGTACCCATATTGCCTCACACAGAATCCTCTTAACCCACACCTGTATCCCCCACACTAAGCCCTTTCACACTTGGAGCCTGCCTTGCTGAGCCTGCCTGCCCACACCTGGTGCACCTGGCATGGAGGGGCAGGGTCCTAGGGTGTTTCTTGGACAGGCCTGGTCCTTGCCCTGTGTCAGGGCTGGGTGCAGCCTCACCACTGAGTCCGGGGGGAGGAGTAGGGGGAGCTGCACAGTGATCTCCCACCTCTGTGCAGTCAGTGGCCTGTGCTCCCCAATGCCATGCTGGAGCATCCACGTTTATTTGACAAATAACATTTGCAGAATTTTAAAATACTGTCAGGCTGCATCCTTCTCCTGGATGCCACCAGGGGGAGCACTGAGAGCACAAGACAGACAGGCTCCCTGCTTTTGGTTCCTGTGCTTGGTGCCATGGTGGCCTCCAGCAGCTGGGAGTTCTGCTCAGCCCTGGTATCCCGGCGACAGGAGCCTGCTCAGTGCAGAGAGATTCTTTGGAGAATTTAGCTACCAAATTCGAGCACGTCTCAGCTGCGCATGTGTGAACTGAGACTTTCAGAGGCCAAATTTGAGAAGATTTTCACGGGGATGGCAAGAGACACATTCCTGGCACCAGGGCAACCCCCAGCCAAATTTCAAATCCCTGCTCCAGAGCGGGGAGGTGCCTCAGCTTCTCAACAAAATGGTGGTATGGGTTGTTGTTTTTTAACATGGACAAAATGTATTTTCCCATGTCTTGTTCTCGAAATGGCTAAACCAATTTTGCTGAAATTTTCCAAAAAAATTCAATCCGAGGCAGACCCTCGGCATGTGGGAAATTGCAGCCTGATTGAACGGTTAAAGTTTAGCAAAGTTATAACCAACTGAAAACAAGGTTGTGGGACACTTCCATTATAAGACCCTACTGTAGGCTCTGCTACCTGTGCTGCCTATAATAGAGGGCCTTCAGTGAGGTGTGTACATGCCCCACATTAAGGCAGGCAGGGAAATGGTTAATGAGGGCTCATTTAGGGGCTGATCCTGCTCCCTTGGAGTCAGTGGGAGTATTAACAGTGACTTGGATGGGAACAGGGCCAGACCCTTCGTGCAGGGGGATAGAGAGGAGGCAGTGGAAGGGCCCTGAGGGGCAAAGGAAGTGCACACAGTCCCCGTCTTTTCCCTGCCCAGGAAGCACACAGACAGCGAGGGTGAGCTGAGCAACTGGCCCTCTTCAGATGGGGTCAGACAGCTTACAAGCATCTGTGTCAGCTGAGAGCTGTCTGTTTTCTCCCGGCTCCTACTGGCCTCCCCTTTATTGGCATGGGGAAAAAGAGGCTGAATCCAGCCCCAGTCCTGGTCTCCTGTGTGCTTGGCGTAGAGGTCCTTGGGCCTTAGGGTGACAGGATGCAGTATTTTGTTTCTCTCTGTCCCCTCATATCGCCCCCTTTCCTGTTAGCCATGAGCGGGGCCCAGATGTTCAGATGGGGCCAGAGCAACGGTTACTGTCTTGACCAGAGGGAGCTGTTGTAATTGTCTCTGCTCAGGCTGCGGGAGGGGACAGCCACCTTTTTTCCCAGCATGGGATTGGGGGTTTCCTTTGTCTTCACCCCCGTGCGTTCCACGTTCCCAGGTGAGGATGATTTGGAGGCACTGAAGGCCAAGAACATCAAACAGACTGAGCTGGTGGCCGACCTTCGTGAGGCGATCCTGCAGGTGGCACGGCACTTCCAGTGCGTGGATCCAAAGAACTGCAGCATTGTGAGTGGGGGCGCACTGCACAAGGCTAAACCTGAGTCCCTCGTGCTGCATGGCCAAGGCTGGGTCCCCCTACCCCTGGAGGAGCTGCCGGATTTCAGGGAGATCCCCCATGGGCAGGATCTCTGTGTCGCACGTTGCCTGTCCTAGGTGGAGGGAAAGGAGCCATGCTTGATCCTGGAGCTAGCAGAGCTAATCTGTCCACCGGGGGAGGGAGCAGAGAATGATACTGAACATGGGGGAGCATCCTAGCACATCTAGTCACCTTCTTACTGCTCCTCTGTGCTTCTCTTCCGCACAAACTCAGGACCTGACTCCAGATTACACCATGGAGAGCCACCAGCAGGACCACGAAAACTACGTGGCATGTTCCCAGAACCGCCGGCGCCGAGCCAAGGCACTGCTGGACTTCGAGCGCCATGACGATGACGAACTGGGCTTCCGCAAGAACGACATCATCACAGTACGAGGGCTGGGGGGGGGGCAGAATCCCGCGGCGTGATACACCCTCTCTGCCCCCTTTCAGAGAGGGCATGTTACAGGCACCCACCTCGAGCCACCATGTGGGGCGAGTGTTTCATCCTCCTTAGAGCCTTCTCCCTGAGGAGTCAGGCTGGGGTGTCCCTCCCAGAGCCCTGTGCTGGGTTGCTGGTTATGCAGTCTGTGGCTGGGGGTTCTGGCTGATCCAGGCAGGACACAGAATTCCATTGGGAACGCTTGCTGCCTCCTGCTGGAACTGGTTAGTGGGTCACCCTGGCTGTCAGCCCCCACTCCTCCAGAGCGAAAGGCAGATAAGATTTGAACTCCAATCAGAGTTAGCTCAGTGCTCTGTGCCACCAGGTCACTGGGCCAGCCCAGCCATCATCTAAGGGCACCCAATAGCATGGAAACCTTGGCACCACCTCTTTACACCCCAGGGTGGGCGAGGGAGGGAGGAAAGGGAAACCCGCTGCCCATCAAAGCGCAAGAAGCTGCTGCTCTGAATAGCTGTCCGATGTGGGGTGTGTTGTGTTGGCAGCATTGTCCTGCGCCCGCATGGTGAGTAGAACCAGCCTTTCACCCCCATGTATTGTGGGGCCAACAGAACCACCACTGGGGAAGAAAAAGGGAGGAGGGTGTTGGCACAATGGCTGATCATCATTTAACTCCTCTTCTCCCACCCTCAGGAACTCCTGCCTCTTGCCCAGGGTGCCTGGATAACCCATGCTAACCCAGAGCGGCCCTTTAGCCCCATCTAGTGGCTGAACACCTAAAGAGACTGCTACAGACGCTGAGCTAGTGGACTTGGTCCTGTAGCTCAGATGGGAGAGGCTTATGCTTTTAGATTCAGGGTCCCAGGTTCAGTCCCCACAAAGAACACGGCTACGGGTGTTGTTACTTCTGTCTCTGGTGTCTGGGCAGCACCCACCTGTAATGAAAGTTGGTTGGTGACTTGAATTTCAGTCAGTCAGTCCCCCCCGTCGACCTCTGATGGTTGAGAAGAAAGTGATTCCTTACCCCACATGCACACACTCTCACTCTCTGAGGTGACACTGTTTCCATGGCAATGCATCCCATCTCCCAGCTGTCCTGGGTGGGATGTGTGGAGAGGGAAAGCCTGACGCTGCACTGGTGCCAGCCCCATTTTGCCTCCTTGCTCCCGTTCTATGGCCCCTGTGAGTCAGGGTTTGTCTCTCTCTCAAATTGCCATCTCTCCTCTTCGTTCTTTCAGATCATATCCCAAAAGGACGAGCACTGTTGGGTGGGGGAGCTGAATGGACTGAGAGGTGAGAACAGACAAGGCTGGTGGGTGAGGGGGGGGCTAAGGGAAAGGTGAGGGGAGGGGCTCCAGAGACAGAGGAGGGGAGAGTGGAATTGCTAATGTTCCGCAGATGCTGCTGCTCTTAGCGATGGCGCTGGCATCTCTGCCCTCCCTGTCTCAGGGAGCCGTGTGGGTTTGCTTTTCATTTGAGTTCCTGCCCTTATAGCCAAAGGCTCTGCTGAGCCCATTGGGGAGCTGCCTGGGAATGCACATCGCAGGAGAGAGGGGTGTGGAGGTGGGGTGGGGGCGCAGCTCCTTGCTAGGCAAGCTCATTATTCCCAGCAACTGAGGTGTACTTCCTCAGTCAGGGTGAGGATGGGTAGGGGGCTGCTCTGAAGCATGGGAGCTGATGCTGTCTGTGGTGCTTGTAGGGAGAATGCCCTTCGATGACATCAGGCTTGCAGCTGTTTGGATTTCCTGATACACACTGAAAGGCTCCAGTGCTGCTTGTTTTCTTCTCCAGGCTGGGCCCACAGGCCCCTCCAGGGCACACAGGAACCCACCTCTTTTCTCCTCCCTCCCCCAGGACCTGCAGCCAGTCTGGGTTTTCATTCATATCCATGTGAGGGTTTCCCGATGTCTCAGGCTCACCCTTTGTCTCTTCTTTGTAGGTTGGTTTCCTGCAAAATTTGTGGAGGTCTTGGATGAACGGAGCAAAGAGGTAAAAATTCCTGTATTTTCTAGGTCACCTTGCAAACCCCACTGTCCTTCTTACCAAAACCCATGCGTGTCTTCCCTGCTGCCATCACTCCTTCTGGCTATCCGTGTTTATATGCCACTTTTCCTCTGCCCCGCTGGCAGGACGTAGCGTAATAGTGTGGTCAGATGGTGGTAGTTTCCTTGGGCATTTGCTGAATGTTTACCCACAGGATGGTCGGAGATGGAGATCCACAGGGTGGGATGGGAGGGAGTCTTGTGCAGTTACTACGGTCCCTACAACCACAGTCTGGCTCAAGGAGAGCCCAAGAGGTGACATCCTGCAAATGTTGCAAAATATGAATCTTTCTGTAGCCCCTCCCACCCCAGAATCTGTGTTTCACAGCTGTGAATGAATGACTGACACACTCACACTCTCTCTCCCTCCCTCCCTCCCTCTCTCTCTCTCTGATGGCCGTGTGAGATAGGGAAGTCTCTTATCCTTCCCCATTACAGATAGGAGTCTGAGGCACAGAATGATGAATTGATTTGCCAAAGGTCACACAGGCAGTCTGTGCAGAGCCAGAAATAAGTCCCACATCTTCTGACCCAGAGTCTTGGGTGTTAACCTCAAGAGTATCCTTTCAGGGGCCCTGCGGATGCCTGGCTTCCCACAGTTTAAAGTCCCTGCCTGGAGAGAGGTGTATGGGCTGCACTGGGCGCCGAGTGTGGCCAGGGAAGGAATTAGCTCTGTGAATGAGAGAGCTCTCAGCTGTAGTCAGTGAGAGCATGCGGAGGGGAGCCTGCCAAGAGCTAAGTCTTGATGAAACCAGCCTCGCTCCCCACAGACCTGCTAGTCCGGACATCAGTACAACCCAGCAAAGCAAGTTCTGCGCTCAGGCACCAGCTTCCAGTCCCTGGGGCTGTTGGCTCTGAGTGGGGTAGGGGAGCGTCTAGAGTGGGTGATGAAAGGAGATAGAGGAGTCTGGGTGGGAAGGCCTGTCTGGAGAAGAGGTATGGCTCTGTGTCCCCACCCCATAGCTCTCTGCTCTGGGGGGCTGTCTCCCTCTCTAAGAGGCTAAGAGCTAACTCCTTTCATTCCTCAGTACTCCATTGCTGGCGACGACTCGGTCACAGAGGGGGTGACAGACTTGGTCCGAGGCACGCTCTGTCCAGCACTGAAGTCTATATTTGAGCATGGGTTAAAGAAGCCGTCCCTGCTGGGGGGGCCCTGCCACCCCTGGCTGTTTATCGAAGAGGTGAGAATGGCACTTGGGGACAGGGGAACAACGGGGAGGGGATGTAGGGATAACGGGGCTATGGTCCAGCAGGACTACAGGAACACAGCCTTCTCTCGGCTTTCTTCCCTGCTGGGCACCTTGGGGTCTGTCCCGCCTCTACTGCGGGTGGGGTGCTGCTGCTGGAGGTTCTGTATGTGAGGGCTGGGGTGCTATCAACGGCCTGTAGCTCTGACTACATCCACTTCCCCTCAGGCCGCTGGACGGGAGGTGGAACGAGACTTCGACTCGGTGTACTCCCGCCTCGTGCTCTGTAAGACTTACAGGTGAGGCTGCTCTAGTCATACTGACAGTCTCGCATCCTCCTGCCCCAAGTCCTCCTTGTCAAAGCTGCACTCCTCTCTCCCGCCTGGAAAGGTCGTTCTTTCCTTCTGGGCCATGACATGTTCCCTCTTCCGAATGGGCAGGGCCCTGCACTGCCCTGCCTGGGACGGCTGTTGGAGCCATGCTGACCTGGACTGCACATGGGACTGACAGGTGGTTCTTGTCTCTAAAAACCCCCACTTCCTGTGTGGTATGGCTGTGGCTATATCTCAGCCCGTAGCAGTAGCCATCATCAGGGTCCCCAGCCCCAGTCTCCTGGTAGCAGTAGCTGAGCTGTGTGTTGCTCCGAGTAGCGTGGCTCCCATCTCGGGGTGCGCTCCTGCCGGACAGTGTCTTGCCTGAATCGGCAGATGGCTCTGTGGGGTAAATTGGGTCTCTGCTTTGGTTTTATAGGCTGGATGAAGATGGAAAAGTTCTGACTCCAGAGGAGCTGCTTTACCGGGTGAGTACCTTGCCCTGCCCGCACAGGGGCTAGATTAGGGTTGCCAGTTTTGGTTGGATGTATTCTTGGAGATTTCATCATATGACCTAATCTTGAATTCCTGGAGTCTCCAGGCCAAACCTGCCAGACCCACCTCTGTACCTTCCCCTGGTCTGTGCAGCCCCTTCAACTGCTCTCAGCCTCTCCCAGCAAGAGCCCAGAGCTACTCCCAGCAGGTGGCGCTGTAGGGAAGGCTACATGAGCTGTGGTCCTGGTGACTCCTACAGGGAGTGGTAAAGAGAGCTCTGTGATGGCGCTGAGCAAAGGGGACCTGCAGGGAAAGGGTGCACTAGTCTGTGTAGCTGTAGCGACTCTCCATGTGGGAGCCCCCCCGTGGAACATAGTAACCGCCTCCTCCCGCCCGGCAGGCAGTGCAGTCTGTGAACATGACGCATGACACTGCACATGCTCAGATGGACGTGAAGCTTCGCTCCCTCATCTGCGTTGGACTCAAGTGAGTCATTCAGCCCGTTTCCTTGAGCATTGCTTCGATGATGAGCTTGGGGCGGGCTGGGAGATGGGAGTGAGTAGGAGGCGGGGCGGTGAGGTGAGGGGCTGGGGCCAGGTTGAGGTGGGCGGAGGGATCTGGGGAGGCAGACAGGGGGTTGTGGGGTGCTTGGAGCCATCTGGGTCAAGCTGGGAAGAAGTAGTTATTTAAGTCTCCTCCCCCCACACAGCTTGAGTCACCGAGCTCTGTCCTCTCCTAGGTGGCCACTAGGGATATAAATATTGGTTAAAAAGGTTAACCAATTAAACAATTAAAATTATATTGTTTAATCGGTTAACTGTTAACTGATGCCACTCCGGCAGCGGGGTGGCAGGGGCTGGGGGCCCGGCGTTGCCAGGGCTGCTCCAGCCCACCCAGCACTGCCCGGGGCCGTGTCCCACCGGTACAGCGCGGCCGGGGCCAGCCGCGGGGGTTAACGGTTAAGTTCTGGATAACAGTAACCCTAATGCTTACAGGTTAATCGTTTAACCTTTTACATCCCTAGTGGCCACCACCAGAAGCCAGTGCCTTATTTTCAGGTACACTCGACCCAGACTGTCCCCTGAGGGAGCAATTCCCTGGTGTCCTCCCTGTTGCTGTAGAGGAAGAGACTGATGGGTTGTGGTCAGAGGCTGGATGGGAATCAGTGTCCCCCAGAGGGAGAGGCCACCCAGCCCTCTGATAACGGCCCTGGCTCCTAGTGACTCTTCCCCCTCCCTTCGTGCAGTGAGCAGGTCCTGCACCTGTGGCTGGAGGTGCTGTGCTCAAGCCTGCAGACAGTGGAGAAATGGTTCCATCCCTGGTCCTTCCTGCGCAGTCCTGGCTGGGTGCAGATCAAGTGTGAGCTCAGGTGAGTACGGCCCCCCTGTGATCAGCCACGTGCTGCAGCGCCCTCTTGGCCTTTGCAGACCCCTCGCTATTGAGCATTCGGCTGGTTGTCGTGCTGCAGCGGACTGGTGGGCTGCCGTTTGTGTAACCTGCCACAATAACCATTTGTGTCACACCCACCTCCTCACACAGCTCTGCCAGCAGAGCTGCACCCCACTCGTGGGGATTTCCTCCCAAACGCCCAAGAGAAGCAGCTGCTGTTTACACTGTGTTTGGCGTGAATGGGACTCGCTCTCACTATCTGATCAAGAGCAGGGCCTGGTCAGGGTATGTGCGGGGAGCAGCATCTACACGCAGGGCTGCTGCTCTCAGGCCTCTAGCTGCTTTGCACTGAGCCTGCTGTAATGGAGCAACCCCCAAAGCCCCTCCCTGCTCCAAGGACCCACGCTCCCCAGAGTCTAGCACAGGGGTGGGCGAAGTACGGCCCGCCGGCCATATCTGGCCCATCAGACCATTTAATCCGGCCCTCAGCTCCCGCCGGGGAGCAGGGTCGGGGGCTTGTCCCACTCCACGCAGCTCCCAGGAAGCAGTTGGCATGACCCCCCCCACTGGCTCCTACGTAGTACATGGAGGCGTGGCCAGGCAGCTCTGCGCACTGCCCCGTCTGCAGGCACTGCCCCGCAGCTCCCATTGGCCACAGTTCCCGGCCAATGGGAGCTGCAGGGATGGCGCCTGCAGATGGGGCAGCGCGCAGAGCTGCCTGCCTGCGCCTCAGAGCTGGAGGGGGGGGGGGGGGGGAAGGAGACATGCTTCCGGGAGCTGCTTGCGGTAAGTGCCACGCGGAGATGGCGAGATGGTGGGGGAACTTGGCTTCAGTCTAGTGGCAGAGCTGAAGCAAACTGAATAGCTTCTCTCTTTCCCCATCCACACCTGCCCTGCAGGGGGAGCAGCAGGTGGGCTTGGGCTTCCCCACCCACAGCACTCCTGTGCCCCCCAACACTGCCCGGAAGGAGGGGAAATGAACCAGTTCCTGGGAGCTCTGCTGCTGGCTCCAAGACCAGCTCCAGGCCAAGCCTGTGTCAGCGGCACACCTTCCATCACTGCCTCTGCCACTGCTGCCACCTCCCATCCTCCTGCTGGAAATGGCTTTTGCCCTTTCACTGGCCTGTTATTTCCATCCCCCTTTACCCAGGCTGGAGTGCGACAGGTTCCCATCCTGGGAGCTGGCAGCCGGCCTGGAGTAGCTGTGGTGTTACCATGGCTGCAGCTCAGGGTCCCACATTCTCCTTGGGAAGTTCTTGAAGCAGGGGGAGTGAATTCCCTTGTAGAGGCAGCAGTTGTCTGCATGTAGCTGCTTCTTTGCTCCTGATACCACCCCCCTGCACCCCACCCTGCTCACCGTCAGGACGTGAGAGCAGGTTCCATTGTAAACTCCAACCGTGCAACAAAACCGCCCAACCGATGGGACACTGTATGGAGAGAACTTTCCAGCCCTGACTGGGGCTCAGCTGGTCAAGTGCCGAGAGGCCATGTGTGAACGAGGAGAGTCACCACTGGTTGAGGCTGAGCCTGCCGGGGCATGGGTGGGATGCACTGTGGGGAGCTGAAGCCCAGGATCGAATGGAGGGAGTTCTCTGTTGCCCTGTAACGAAGGATTTGCCATGAACACCTTTACTGGCCCCCTGGGTTTGGTACGGACTGGGTGGGGAGGGGGCAAAGCAAGCTCGGGGAGGGGGCCCTGAGGGGCTGTCGAGGAACAAGTGAGCACCTGCAAAACTCTAATCCCAGCGCTGCCAGGCCTTGGCCAGCTCACTGGCGCTCAGTTTCTCCATCAGGACTGGGGGGTGGGGGAGAAGGCTCAGTGCTCTCCATACGCCCCTCGCTGGGCAAACAGCTGACTGCCGAAGGGTTTGAGGATCAGCTCCCATGCTTCTGTTTGACACTGGGGTGAGCTCAGCTGCCTCTGTTTCTCTCAAGGTGTGTGTGTGTGTGTGTGTGTGTGTGGTGAGATTCCCAGCCCTGGGGGGTGAGGGCAGGGCCAAATGAAGGTATTCCAGTGCCTGAGGGTTCCCCCCTGCTCTGGGCCCACTCACCATCTAGAGTGGCAATGGTAAGCGGGGGTCCCCACTTCCTGTCCCAGAGAGTTGGGGGGAAGTAGTCGTAGAAGTCCACAGTGTATATTGAGTTGGTCTGGGCCTGCTACACCCTCCTCCTCCTGTCACATGTAGTCCTCTGCTGGGTGGTGGGGGCAGGGCCCCAGAGCAGTGGATGTTGTTGTTAACTTCCCATTGAGATGCATGGGGCAGTTCACACCTCTCTGAACTGTTGTGTTGCAGGCTGCCTGCAGACTCAGGCAGACATCTCTGCATCAGTTGCAATTAGGTCGTGTTTTCAAGCTTTTTTCCACAGCCTGAGGGCTAGAAATGTGTCTTTTTTTTCTAATAAAAGCTGCAAGTCTGCTACAGTCACATGGCAGGGATGGTTTTGTAAGGGCATAACCATTGCCTTGTTGTATTGCAGGGTCCTCTCCAGATTTGCATTCAGTCTCTCTCAGGACTGGGAACTTCCTATTAAGAGAGAGGTGAGTGGGCCTGGACCCCCCCTTGCCCCAGGAGTAGCCTGCCCTCCCCATTTCCTGGCACGTTGAACAGCCCCCATGTTGCAGACAGCACTTTATTCAAGAGGCCTTGATGCAAATTGGCATTGAACTTGATGCCTGGTCGTCTCCCTGCCCTGTGAGCCAAGGAACAGTCCCTTCCCAGTGGAGCAGCCTCCGCCTGGGTCTGAGTCTGGCAGAGCCAGGGCGAGGCCCCTCAACTGCAGTGTGGTGGGTTGCCAATCTCCTGAGGATCAACTTCTGCCCTTCTGGTGGGGTTAGTGGGGGTGCAGCACACTGCAGGCTCTTCACACACCAGTTCTTATTCATACCCCAAGGGGTGTGGCTTTTCTGCTTGCTTCCTCCTCCCTTGGCTAGGAGAGTGAGCACTGGACCCCTGGAGAACAAGGTTCTGACTCATGCAGCTGCACCAGCAGCGAAGGGCCAGGGGCAGGTGTTCTCCAGGTGTTCTTACCTGTTCCCTCCATACCCCAACCAGACTGCAGGGTTGAGACGCTTGGCCTGGTAGGAGAGAGAGCAAGTGGGGGGGGGCAGCAGCTGCCTACAGAAGTCACTTCCCGTCTCCCCCACCTGCAGTGGTAAAGTCCGATGGCACCTGCATATGGCTGCTTAGTGACTCTTGGCCCTTTCCTGTCCTGCAGGAGAAGGAGAAGAAGCCGCTGAAGGAAGGCGTGCAGGACATGCTGGTGAAGCACCATCTCTTCAGCTGGGACATAGATGGCTGACCCCGCCCACTGCGGACCTTCTAGACTGCCACACTCAACACACACTCTCCTCCCTCCCCCACCCGTGGCTGCTCTCAGCCCAGCTGAAGCGACAGCCTCTCCAGCTCGGCCGGGCACTGCACCCCAGGCACTGGGTGGCTGGAGGGCTGTGTGTGGTCTTGCAGGCAGAAATCCTTCCCCCAGCCTGTGCAGCATACCCTGCACCAGCTGCCCAGCTCTCAGTCCCATGTGTTCCCTTGCCCCCAGCTGTAAGTCCTGCTCGGGTGGGGGGAACTCCACCAGCCAGATTTCTAGCTTCCCTTTTGGCCCACCCCGCTGCTCCTCTGGGAGAGGGTTCTTAATCTGCCTACTATCCTAGGGGTAGTGAGCAGATCTGTGTGTCTGTCCAATGTTTCCAAGTGCCGTTGGAGCCCAGAATGTGAGGGCAGCAGGTGAAGAGGCAGCTCCCCCTGCCTGTTTAGTAACTCCAGAGTCCATTGAGGGGGGGAGGCTGAGGAATGCACAGAACCACCTGAACTTCCCTGTCTCTTGTGCTTTGGGAGCCTCCCTCCATGAAAGATGTTTTGTCTTGTTGCTCTAGCAGTGTAATGGACGGATGAGGGTGCCGACAAGATGTGCCTAAGGGAGCAGCCAGTTACCAACTAGAACTGCCTTAGGGGATGAGGCTTTTTCTCAAAAGTGTGGAGGCAAGCCCCAGTTCTCCCCTAGCCAGAGGGAGTATCATGCTGTCGTTTTAGCCTCTAGCTGTCTTGTTTTAAATTAACCAAAAAGATGTAAATGATCTCTAGACATATCTGTATATTTTGGCATCATCTTAGCTCAGGAAGTGGGTTCAGGCCTGAGCTGGCTCAGGGAGACTAACTCAGCCCCTACCCTGTGGGAAGAGGCTGAGGACTATAAGCTAGGAGTGGACCAACACTACTGCTGTAGGGTGAAAGCACTTGTTTGTGAGCACAAACTACTCATGAAATAACACTAGATTCTTACTTTCCTTTAGTCTTTGGGGTTGTAAATAAAGTGCATCATGGGAGAGCTTTGGTGGTTTTCTCCAGCAGGGATGGGGGTGGCGGGTGAGCTTTCCTTTGGTTTGCTGTTGCAGGTCTCTGTGGGGTTTAAGATAGATGCCTGCTCTCTGAGCTCCTGGAGGGAAAGAGGAATCCTTTACAGGACCAGAGAATTTGTCTTTATGTCACTCAGTGACCCTGAAATCACCTCATCTCTTTTGTCCCTGTTTCCAACTGAAATGGGTCTTAATCCTTTACGGCTTGGTTTGGAATTTAGCAAATGGGAGCAGGCTGCGCTGGGATTTAGAGGCACACAGAATTGCATCCCCACCCCTGCAGGGAAGACGGCCCCTCTCTATTGCAGAACAGAATATTCAGCTGTGGCTACGGCATTAGCGCCATTCTACAGCGCAACAATAGGGCCAGGAAAGACTAGGTCAAGCCTGGCTTGCTGACTAAAGCAGGTATCAGAACCAGCAGCACACTGCAGTAGAACTAGTGAGAGCATGGTGGGATGGAATATTCAGGACACTTCTAATGGTGACATTTGTCAACAACAGCATTTCAACTGTACAAATTAAAATCACATCCCCTGGGACTTATCAGTGTGAAAAAACACAGCAGGAAAAGCCGTTCTGCACTTTTTCGTCTGTCATGCAGTTTAAAAAAAAATAAAGGTTCTTTGCAAGGCAACCACGTGCCTCAGCATAGGGGAGTGGGGAAGAGAGGCTGTCTCAAAACAGAGTTCAGGGCTGAACACAGTTAAGAGGTAAGGTGCCCTTTATACTTCCAGGAGGGAACCAAAGAAAACAGGAGAGCCTTGCTTGACAGCTCTTTAGGAATTGTGTACTCCTGTGTCCTAAACCCAACCGATGGAAACCTTGAGAAGGTTGGAGACAAATTGGAGCAGACACAGATGAGCACAAGGCATGCCAGCCTGTTTCTATTCAAGTGCTACTCTAACAGGAATGGATCCATTTGCAGGACACTTGCTCCCTGGGGATGCTCCACTGTAGGATGTGCACGCCCCATATACTTTTGACCAGAGACTAAACAACAGTGTTGCAGTGCCACACCTGGAGCTCCAGGTGAGGGCATACAGGGAGGTGTAGACCTACTGCTGCTCCAGTTCTTTCTCAACTATGAAACCTGGCAGACTCTGCACCTGAGGGGAAGAGCAGGAGGCAGAACACCCTGATGCATAAAACATCTTGAAGAACTCACATTACTGTACAGCTAGGTAGCCTCTCTATGACCTGAGGGATGCTCCAGTGTAGGAGATTCCTAAGCACTAGGTCAACACGGAGGTGAGTAGTGAATTGAAGACAGGTTGGAGGACTGTCACCCAAGGTCATGTCAGCTATGGATCCAGGTCTGATGGTGTAATGTTTGACAAATGTGTGAACCAAGGAGCAGGTCGCAGCCCTGCAGGTTTCTGAGATGGTGATGTCCTTAAAGAGGGTGATAGCAGTGGACTGAGCCTTCACTTGCTGAGGGGGATATTTCACAGCAGATCAGGATACAATCAAACCCTCTTGGACAGGTTTAGGGGAAATCAGCTGACCCCTCATCCTTTTCGCCAAGGATACAAAGAGTCTTAATGCTGGCAGGGTAGATGGCAAGAACCCTACTTACATCTAATGTTTGGAGACTAGCTTCCTCCCTCAAGGGAGGGGCTTAGCCATTTACTGGTATTTTAGCCTATCTTGGTTGGTGTGAAATTCCAACAAGTCTTTAGGGAGGAATCAAGGATGGGGGCGCAGCATGACCTTTTCACGCTAGCACGTAGTGGATGGTGGTTCTGCCATGAGCCCTCCGTTCTCTCATTCTGGCTGAGGTGACGGTGATCAGAAGCAAGTCTTGAGGATGAGAAAGCAGGGAGTTTGCAACTGCTGGTAAACCACTGAAGTATCTGTGTGAGGAGAGATGTACTAGTACCACAGCTATTCTGCACACGAGGACCAAGATCTTGCTCCTTCTCATCAGTTTACATAATACATAGCTGCACTGCTGTCCAGTGTCTGACAGAGGGGCCCTTTCTGTCATGAAGTAAGTGCTGACATGGGTAGTGGCCTTCCCTTAGTTCCAGGATGTTCATTTGGAGTGAACTCTCTTGGGTGAGGACCATTTTCCCTGTGCTGTGGCACTCCACCCAAAAGAGGCATCCAGTGTGAAGATTTTTTGAGAATGGTATTTCCACACCAACCTTCAGAGGTTCTTTCCACCTAAGAGAAGCTAGTACTCAGGGAGGCACAGTGATTTGTTTGGGGCATACATAATCCTTCGCAAGGCCTGACCATCTGATATGCAGCCTTGCATCTGGCATAATGAATGTGGAGGCTGACATGGCCTAGGTGTTGGCTGGGGGGCTGTCTGAGTGGTTTCTGTGGCTTTCGGTGCCCTGGAGGTGGTCATCTTGGTCTTAGATGCATATGCTAGAGGTGTCAAATAGTACCAAGCAAGATGCCTCTTGGTGCTGCTTGGTTGAAGCCTTCTCTGAGTAGGTGGTGTTAGGCCATGCCAGAGTCTCTGGCAGAAGAAAGTGGCTTTCTTCTTTAGAGGCCTTCAGCTCTGAAACTGAGGCTGGAGGGCACTGGTATGGCCTGAGAGGTTGAGGCTAATGTTAAGGGACGTGTTCCTGCCGTTAAACCCCCCCCGCAGACTTTGCACGTGGATGGGACATAAGATTTTCTGAGGCACCACAGACAGCTTATAGGTCCTATCACTATAAGGAAAACAGTTCTGGCAGCACTGGAACCTTGGACTCTTAAGCATAATCTGGGTAAGTGTCATAGACCACAAAGGCTGAAGGGGCAAGAATTTCGGAGTGCCCCTCCCCCCCAAGTTGTGCAACAACTAAGGGGAAAAAAACCAAAACTAATAGGCTAGGAAGCAGCTGTCAATGCAGTTGCTCCAGCTTAAGCTGCAGGCAATTAAGAAGTGGAGGGGTGAGGGGTCTATATCTCCCTACGTCCTTTCATCTGAGAGCACAAGACCCTGCACTTCACAGGCATTCACCGTTATTTACAATCTCTGGTCAAGAGTGCAGGGTGCATACATGTCCTACAGCAGAGCCCCCATAAGGGCATGTACTAAATAACTGGATCTCCAACTCCCATCCAAAGAGGGCAGCACCCTCCCCTCTACATTGGTAAAATGTCTTCCCCTTGGTTCAGTCGTGGAGAAATGGAGGTGGGTTAAAATCTGTCCTGGCTGTTTGGACAGAGAGAAACGTACAGTTTATGGGCATGCGGTTAGTCCCCCCACCCTGTATGGAAATGTCCCTATAGTGCCACTCACCAGCTTTACCCACTCACCAACAACAAAATGCTACAGCATTTAAAAGCAAGACAAAGCATGCTGGGAAGGGGAAGCTGCTGTAGGTGCAAATAATGCACTAGGAGAGTTAGGATTCCTCCTCCTCTTCTCACTTCCCATACCTCTATTTCAAAGACAAAAGGTGAAGGGCTCTCAGCCTGCGAGGGCAGGGATGTCCTGTACCAATGCCTACAAGACAGACCTTTTGATCATGTTTTTTCTTTATTTTTTAATAAAATGTTTTTTTCCAAGTATTTATAACTGAAAAAATAATTCAATGGAAGGATCCATTCTCTCACCCCTTAACTCTTCACTCTTGTCCTTTTCCAGTTGAGTGGTCATGCTGGAGCCTATTGCCTCAGACTGTGCTGATCCCCCCCTTGCTGGTGCTGCATAGTGGAAGGGAGAGTGCATGCTACTCAAATACACATTATCAACAAGTAGTGGTTACAGCAGAAAGATTTTCAGGGTTACATTCAAGATAGAGGCAGAACATCAGGCTTTTGTTTTTCCCTGTGAGACACAACAGGGTCTCCCAGGAAAATCTCCAAGAGTACAGAGAAGTAGATGATCCTGCTTCTCAGCAAGGACCTAGGGCTTCTAACAGGCCACCTCCCCACCTGACCCTCCACTGAGAAGCACCACCAGCAATGGGAACCCAGCTCTAGTATTTCAGTACCAGCTACTGCACCCTCGCAGCCTCACTTTACAGAGGGCCTTAGGCCTCTTCCTATGCAGCAATAGCCCTCTGGATTTTGCAGTCCCCTGGGGAGTGGGGAGGAGTGACTTGGTTTACCCACCCTCTCCCTCACCCCACCCAGGGAACTGGTTTGATGCCACCTTCCTACATTGCACTTTGATCATTTGTTTTCTGCTTGATATTAACTCTTGTATTTAGGTTATTTGTACCCCCCCCCCCAAAAAAAAAAGCCGAGCCTCTGCTCCAGTGGGGCCAGGGATCACAGTGGTACATATAAAAGCAGCCTCCAAAGCCATACTGACAGCCTGGTTGTCACACAATACTGGAGCAGCTTAGGTCAGGCTGGAAGCCCCTCCAGCCCAGGTCCCAAGGATTATAGGACATGGGTTTGTTCTGCCTCATATACAATTTCTTTAGCCCCAGGAGCACTGAGTAAGTGATTCGGGGTGGGGGTGGGGGGCAGGTACCCAGACACCTTGCTCAGACTCCAAAGGGTGACATGATATGTAGAGTTCTGGGCAGAACAGATGCAGCAGCCATGGTGGTGTGAGCCCCCTATGCAAAAACTAATTATTTTGTATCAGAAACAGACAGCCCAATTAGTGCATAGAGCTAGGGCCAGTCCAGGCCATAAGAAAGAAGCCCAGTTCCAGCCTCCAATTCAGCAGTCCATTCCTGCCCGGAGGGGGAGGAAGGGAACAACCAGGAACGTTATACAGCTGCTCTATTGCTCAGGACACATGGCTTCTCCAGCACACCCTTGGAGTAGGGAAGGAGAAGAATGCACAGCTTTGCACCATGGGAGATGGGCACAGCTTCACTGACTTGTGTGCACACCAGCTAAACACAGAATAGTAAAAAGAAGCAATCTCCTTTGAAGGGCACGTGCAATAAGACTAGAACAGCTAAGCCGTGGCCTGATTCCATCTCCTCCCCAAACCACAGAATTAAAATACCAACTCTCCTCCCAGAACAAGCAGAAGGGGCTCCAGCAATGCAAGACATGCTCCCCCCCCGGTGATTCAGGTACACCATGCCCAGCTGCCACTTATGCCTTGACATAGAGTAGGAGGGTGGCTGCACCTCCCCACTTTCCCTCCAAGAACAGCTAGCGAGGTATATACATAGACAGAGATTCTTCCTTAGCTACTAATGAATGGCAGATACCAAGAGGCAAGAAAGCAGCATGAAACTCCCTCCTCCACCCTGAGGCATGGCTCTTCCCAGGTACACCAGGGACAGACGCCAGACTGGTTGATACACTGACATATTCAGCTACTGGGGGCAAAGGGAACTGCTTACCCCACCCTGTGTCTGTCCTACCATCACACAAGTTGGGTGAGGGGAATTCACTTTTTCCTATTAAATTTTGTTTCAAAGCCAGTACCTCCAGCCCTGGTCCTCTGAAAGCAGCAGCACCACCACCAGCTTCTCCATAAGAGTCCAGTTGGCCATGCTGCCTTCTGCCCACAGCCATACACAGCAGACCGTCCCCGCTCCCCACAGGCTCAGCACCAGTCTAGGGCAGAAGAGGGGAGGCTCCAAACAGCATGGCTGGTTCACTTTTCACACGAGGTGGTGAATGACCATCACTGACCAGAGACAGAACAAGCTTAGAAGGGGACTAGGATGAGTAAGACGTATAAAGGCTTGAAAGCAGCCCCTTCCAAACTCAGCCATAATTACCAAAGTCGCTTGGGGTTGAGAAGGCCATTTCTAGGTCACATAAACTAAGCTAAAATCCCCACCCTGCTGCAGCCTAGGGAGCTTACAGGGGTAGGCCAAAAAGGGGATGGGAGGGAGACTGGGTGTTAAATTTCTAGTAAGAAATTTTTTTTTCCTTTTACTCCTCTGGGACTAGGGTGAACATGGCACGGCTCAGCAGAGACCGTCCTGCCTTCGCATCTGCTTTAGCGATGCCTGAGAATAGCCTTCCACACCTCTCCCGCCTCCCGGAGGGGCCTGTGCCAGAGCCCTGCCCTGCAATAAACCATCTGCCACTGCTGCAGAGCAACATGAGCATGAGGCTTGCCCTCTCCCCTTCATTTCTGTGAAGCACTGCATCAGCTGTTTTTCCAACCCTTCCAAATAGTGTCACCCTAAGTTGCTTGTCTCTAATAGCCCACAGCACAGAAGGCCGCCTCACGCACGGAGAAGACATCAATAGCTGCCTCACCCCTGGCTCCAGCCACCCAATGGCTATTTTCCAGCACTCAGCCTCTTCGGGCTCTGGGCAGCTGTTAGGCCCAGACAGCCCAGCTGTGCCTAGTGAGCCACAGCCGTAGCAGGGTTTGAGCAGGCTGGTGCTAATGACCTGACAGCAGGGAGCTTGGGCTGCAGGCTGAGTAGGAACCCCAGGGGCAGAATGAGCAACGGGCCTGATGCAGCCTGTGTGCCGGGATTCTTGGCCCACCCCCAGCTCTGCGGGAGGCTGGGGCCCCAATCGAAAGAGCAGGTTTTTAGCACCGTCATGCAGGTTGGGCCAGTCTCCTTTTGTGCAATATGAACCCAGCAGCAGGCTTAGCCTTTCCTCAGCTGCAGCCATGACTATAATATCTGCTGCAGAGGGCCCACCTCCCCCTCCCCCTCCCCCTCCTCCCACCCAACACCCCATCCCGGATCAGCGGCTTCCAAAAGCCACACACACAAAGCTGAAGCCCGACCCTCCAGGATCCTAGGCAGGTACCTGCTCTACCACGAGTAACAGCACCTCAGAGCTGGGAAATGGAGGCCTGTGTGGCAGGAAGTTCATGCGCCCCTTTGACTAGCTCTCAGCACAGCCTGAGTTTTGCACTGCAGTGCCCTGCACGCTCCTGGGGCAATAGTTACTCTACTTTGCTCATGGCCTTGGCCCAGAGCAGGATGGGAGGGCTGGGTTTCCAGTCATGATCCCCTTCTCCCTGTTCTGGTTTCTCATCCTGGGTTGTGTGAAGGACTGAGTACATGGCCCCTACCAAGCAACAACCTGATCTACTTGAGAAAGGGTATTTCTTTGGGCACTAGCATCTCTGGCTGTAGAACTCCCCCGAGTGAGGGGTGCGCTGCCTGGTCATTCCCCCATGTACCTCTCTCTCCTCCAGCCAGACGGCAGAGCCTAACCGAACCTGCCCCTTGTATTGCCCCTGGTAGAAGGTGGCTTATTGCTTGAGCGTCCCTTTGGCCTGAAGCTTCTCCTATAACTGAGACCGGCGTGACAGCGCTGGTCTGCAGGAAGAGCGGGGCCATGGCTAACTCAGTGCTCCCCCTTCCTTAAACAGCCGCTGGGAGGAATAGCTGAGCCGCTGCCTAACACGAGGAATCCCTGTCAGTGACCGTTCACCCTTCAGCCCTCCCAGCACAGCAGGAACCCCTTTGTTTCCCAATTGCTTTTAGGTTGGCCCCTGCCCTACCCCTCTCCTGGCTCCCAGCTGAGCTGTTCCCAGTTGAGCCAAAGGAGCAGGGGAGGCCTCCCTACCCTGCAGCGGTGATATTTCAGCTTTAGAGCCAGGGCATAGGCAGGGAACCCGCCAGTTTCAAAACGTCTGCAGCCCCTGTCCCCTGAAAGCTATGGTTACTGCTCTGGTCTGACCCGCTGATTGTAGCCCCAGTGAGCACAATGACCCACTAACAGCTGTGCCAGCCCTTGCCAACAGTACGAGTTTCACTACAGGAGGTCACGACTGGGGGAAGAGTTTACACGCAAGGGGCTCATTTTTGGTTGATTGGGCCTCTTCCCGCCCCGTGCCTGTGCCCTCCCCCCCATTCCCTTCAGTGTCCATTCAGAGAGCTACAAGCAAGAATCCCAGTGCAGCTGTAGATCATGTCCATCAAGGAAGTCTGTGGAGAAGAGGCTGGGGACTGCAGTGCTTAGGGGAGCAAGGCTCATGACAGGGCCCCCCGAAAGCTCCAGCCAGTCCATGCTGTCCAAGTTACCCTCAGCTAGGTCCAGGACTAGTCCCCCAGTTGGCTCATGGGCAAAGTGCAATTCTGAGGTGTCCATGGGGGAAGGCGGGTGGTCCAGAATGGCTGAGCTGCTCAGCATCTCACTGTGAAGGTCATCGATCAGGGACAAGGGCTCAGGCCCATCGTGGCCTGCTGGCAGAAGGGGGAGGCCAGTGCTGCTCTCCAGGAAGTCCTCCAGCCGGCCTGCTAGGACAGGGTTAATGCAGCTGGTATGGCCAAGGGACATGTGCAGGGGAAGCTCAGAGGAATGGTGGCTGTTGGGCGGCGAGGCGCATGCTGGAGACACCGATGTCTCCTTCCCAGCTGGAGAGGGCTGCTCCTTGAAATCAGCTGAAATCTCTGTAAAGAAAGAACACAGAGTCCCAGGGTGATGAAAGGCTCCAGTTAGTGGAGGTCAGATCCTTCAGATCCCTGAGCTAGAGCATCACCAATCCTGACACCGTGGGCCATATGCTGATCACCAACAGGGGTCAAGAAACCTCTCCCAGCTACACAGTAGGCTGGCTTAGGGGAGTTTTAAACCTGCCTTACAGAGAACCATCATGGGCCAGGGCCATGTGAGGGAGGCCAGCCCAGAGCAACCATAGGTCTGATGCAACGCAGCAGCTAGAGGAGTTTTATGCTATATTATACCAGTGCCTGACAAGTCTGTTTCATAGTGCCATACCATACCCTGCTTATGCTAAGGACAGCACCAAATGAAGAATAAGCAAGGGCCCAGGCCAGGGGATACGTACACTAGGGGCAAGACCAATCTCACCAACCCTGCGCCCTGTTGGGGAGCCAAAGGGTGGGAGTCACACTAGCGCATGAGCTCAGTGCTACACAAGCCATAGACTCAAACCCAGAGGTGACCAGCAAGCAACCTCACTGATTCTCTCCTCACCTCCACTCTCTATGAGGATGTCAAACAGGTCGTCCATCTGTTGGCTCGAACAGCCATTCTCCTGGGAAGAGAGTGTGATGAATTAGACGCACACTTACAAGACACACAGTAACCACCAATCTGCTGGCCCGGTCCTTCTCCTTCTCCTTCCCGCACTGACCTGGTAGGATGGTGCCTATAGCACATGGCACCAATGACCTCTGTCACCCCAAGGTGTTACTGGAAGAAGGGTGTTTATAGCAGTGTGAGGTCCTACCACCCCACCATGCCCCTGTATTATGGGTATACCTACACTGCAGCTGGGAGGGGTAATTCCCAGCTTGGGCAGACGTGCTCTTGCTAGCTGTGATCAAGTTAGTGTGCTAAAAGTATTGGTGGGGCCACAATTGCATGGGCAGCAGGATCTTGGATGGGATTGTCCTCGGCAGTTAACCGAATCCCTCGCAGCCACACTGATTATTTTAGCAGGCTAGTTCAATAAGGCTAGCATGTGTACCTCTACCCGAGCTCAAAATTACACCTCCATCCGCAGTGTAGACACACCCTAAGCAGGAGGTAATCTTACCTCAGTCTCAACAGGCATATGGGTCAAAGAGTGAAATGGAAGGTGACTCCATTCCCACTGAAACACCACCAAGGAAATTCACCTTGACTCCTTGTGTGCAGCTCAAGGGCAGTTAGAAAAGGCCCCGTGTGTTTCAGTCTCTCCATTTCCTAGGCACCTGCCCCTGAATTCAGGGAGCAACATGGGTGTTGGATTTGCAGAGGGCAGCCAACCCACATGCTCCCCAAGACGTTCCTTGTGGAAGCACAAGGAAGTGGCTGCTCTTACCTCATGAGGCTTTGGCTGTTGCTTCATGGCCTCTTCATAGCCTGGTGGTTCTTTCATCGGCACCGAGGAGCCAGGGAGAGGAGGTGAAGGGGTCCCAAAAAGGGACGGGTGCTGCTGCTGCTGCTCAAGGTCCATCTGGGATGGGGAAGTGGCAGCAGGAGAACCTGGCTGTGAGGACGACTGTTTAGAATGAAGGAGAACGGAGTGAGTAGGTAGAAAGACCATTTCATCTCCCACATCATGGCTGCTCTCACATGTCCTGGAGAGGCCATCCCTTCTCTCCCCGCTAACGCTGGCCGAAACCACACTGCTTCTGCTCTTCTCTCAGTATCTCTGCTCTTTCTTGCACTGTGTGCGTAGTACATCCCCAGATCACAAATGAAAATCCTCTGCTGTAGCACGACCATGCCACAAACCACCACAGGACTGCACTGGGGTGAGGAGGAGCTCATCTGTTTGGGTGGGTGGATTCCCCCAGCACTTCACAGAGACACAGGACGACTATCCCCACAATATCAATGTAATCTGTGTGCGACAGCCTAGAACTGTTATTTTACCCTTTCCTCTCCATAATGAGTCTGCTTTGGAAACACAAAACTATTCACAAAACACAGGCTGTGGAGAAGTCCGCAGGCTCAGATAGTGTCAGATCTCACAAACTTAGCAGCGGGGGTGGGGACAGACCTCAGAAGAGAGCTCTCCAAAGGAAACCCAAGGTATTACAGGAAATGGTGTTGGTGACTCAGCACTGATCCAGTACCGCAGAGATGTGCTAAAAATACTGTTAAGGCCTTAGCCTTTACTATGATCATTAAAGATCCATTCCACAGTTTGTTAAAGTAGGAATAATGGTCCAAGTACCCTGGAGGAACTCCAGCTCAGATAGTTATACATGCTGCCTCTCTAAATCTCTCTGGGAGTTTAATCTAGGAAGGTATTTTTCACTTTCCTTCACTGTAACGCTGTGGGCAGCAATGCTGGTGCAGAGAAGTGATCCCTGTATATCCAGCCTCCAAAGTCCCTTACGAGTCTGCTCTCTCAAAGTGAGAGAGCCTGAAACCTGGCACTGTGACATGGACTCCATGGGATATGCAGGGAAGCTACCTTTTTCGGCACACTGGGTTGGTTGGCTTTGCTAGGAGCACCAGTTTTCAGAGATCCTTTGTGGAAGCCGTTGAGGAAAAAGGGCTGCAGGTTTGGAGGTGCTGAGAAAGACAAAATTGTGTGGGGCAGCTGCCCAGTGACCACCTGCAGACCTGGCTTCTGAGCCTACAGGGAGACAAAAGGATGAAGAGAGCTACAAACCCCTGCATGGTATGTAAGCTAAGATCAATCACATATTCTGGCTGGCTTAAGGAATTTAACTCTTCAATGGAGAAAGGTGCCTTTGGTTAAAAAACATTCACCTCTGTATTAAAGGCCTTATCAAACCCATGCACTGACCCTCTTCAAAGATGGTCCCACAGCACATGGGTAAGAGCAACAGAACAAAGAAGTTTGATCACATCACTCAGACAAGGCCACTGCCTCCCCATTCATTTCAGGATCCAGTTCAAAAGTTACCCTCCTAATCCTTAAAACCCTTCATAGACTTGCTCTAACCTAACTGATGCACTAGGGAACACACTGAATTATCACCTCATCTAGAAGGGAGAAGATGCAGACCAGGAACTCCTGAGCGGTCACTGAGAAGGGTTATAACCTCTTCACACCTTGTTTCTTTATAGCATTACATCTCTGACAGCCAGACGCAATCCGTAACCAAAGAAAAACAGTTTGGGTGGGGGGCAAGGAGGGCATCTCAACATGGATAATCAGGACCCAGGTTTTAACATGACACCTATTATTCCGGAAGGAGATTTCTCAGAGTTCACATACCCCACCCCAGGGTGCAGAGAAGCCCTGCCAACCCCAGTGCAGTAACTGCCTTTTGATTTCAGTGGGAATCCTCAAAGGGTAAGGAACTACAACATGAACAAGGAGGACACAATTCTGCCCTTTATTTGTTTACAATCACTTTGTAAGGACACTTTCACACAGTACTAGGTTGTTCAACTGCCGTGTGATTAAGGGTACGTCTACACAGCAAAGAAAAATCTGCAGCTGGCCTGCAGCCGGCCTGCAGCTCAAGCCCCCCGAGCCTGAGTTGGCTGGCACAGGCCAGCCCAGGTTTTTCTTTGCTGTGTAGACATACCCTAGGGGCCAGAGCTAATACATTGTTAGGGATTCTCAACTATTCTTCATGCCATGAATCCCATGTTCAACCTCCTCAGATGCATCCCAGGATCCTTTACCCCAGTGCCTACTGCTCTTCTGTGGGAGTCACCATGGGAAATTGTCTCAAAGGTGTATGGCACGTCTGACACCCCGAGGAGGACTGGTTATAAGTGGCTGAGCAAAGCTGCTGCAGCAGAAGGCCGGAGATATGAAATGGGAGCATTGTGCGATCCCCATTCATTCCCCCCAGGGCCAGCTCCCAGGCCGAGAACCAATGCAACATGCATGGGGAAGGAAACTGCAGTGCAGTGGGGTCTCTCCCTCTGTAGTGATGGTCTCAGAACTGATTTGTCCACGTGCTCCCTTTCCCCTCTGCGACTCAGCCAACCACCAGACAAAGGGAAAACAAGGAAGGAATGCAAGCATGTGGTCAGCTACCTTCCTGACGGGCTGGTTCAGTAGCCTGGGAGGCTGCTGCTGTGAGTTGCTTGCAGGTAGCTGACACTGTGGTTGGCTGGATAGTTTAGTGGGTGACGACTGTACTCTCTGAGAAGAAAAAGATGAATGAAAACAAAGCTATTCGCTGTACTATTTGAGGGGGTTGTGGAGGCTGGAGGGAGAAACAGGGTTTAGTTTTCCTGAAGCTAAAACGAAGTTAAATGTATTTCCCAACCCTTACATCTTTAGAAAATTCACTTGTTAGTTTCTCCTAGCAAGAAAATTGGAACACTGCCTACTATTAGGTACACAGGAGTTGCCAGGCCGAATCAGGACCCGGTCTCTGAGAGTGACCATTGCTAGCAGTTTCTGAGGAAGGTGCAAGAAACGGTTCAGTAGTCAGTTATGGGAAGAACTACTCCCATTTCTTCCTAACCCCGAATAGTTAGAGGTTGGCTTATACCCTGAAACTTGAGGGTCTCTGTCCCTGACTAGACTTCTGGAGTCGGTGTTCAAGGTACTTTTGTTAAATGCTGACTTGTCTCCCACCAAAATCAAAGGGGAAAATTATCTGGGCTGGGCTCGTCTCTATCCTCTTCAATGAAAGGCCTTGCTTTCTGTCCGCTCCACTACAGAATGGCACATGGAAGAACAAAACAAAAGATCATTTAACAAGACACACACTCCTGTTCTCAGGGCTCTGATTTCAGCATTCAAACCTCAATTAGACAAAGTCATCTACTGGAAAACTCGAGCCACAATCTCTTTTCTCTCCACAGTGACGAGAGGTGGAATTCCCACTGCCTTTTACTATAGCGTAGTAAAAACCTGTCTGCAGTGTTGTAGCTTTGTTGGTCCCAGAATATTAGAAAAACAAGGTGGGTGAGGTAATATCTTTTATTGGACCAACTTCTGTTGGTGAGAGACACAAGCTTTTGAGCTTACACAGAATTCTTCTCCTGGGGACCTGAAGAGGACCTCCGTGTAAGCTTGAAAGCTCCTCTCTCTAACCAAGAGAAGTTGGTCCAATAAAAGATATTACCTCCCCCACCTTGTCTCTATAGTAAAGACTTGTTCTTTCACATCCTTTTGGACCAGGAATCAGCCTTCCACATCAGACCGTTGGTCTGCCTAGCCCAGTGTCCTACCTGTAACTGTAACCAGAACCTGATGATTTGGAGAAGGCTAAGAAGCTTCTAATGTACCTAGTTAATTATGTAACACTGTACATGAGGTTTGTGTGCATGGAATTTCCTCCCATCCCCTGGCACTGATCTGTTTTTGCCCTGAAGCAGAAGATTAGATTACACTCATCTTGATTTCCATAGCTACAAATTTTAGAGCCAGTCATAAGATCATCCAACCATTTTAATTTGTAAAATTAATTTCCGAATTGTGATGTCACTCTGTGGTAAAATGAGCCCCCCATAATAATGACCAGGGACTTGCAGAGCAGGACTAGACTGCCTAGCATGGGAGCGACAGTGCAAGCCTACCTGTAATGGTGTGCAGCTATTCCCCTGTGGTGAGAGGCCCCGCCTCTCAGCATTCTGATTGGTCACTGTAAGGACAATGTGGGTCCCTGTGGAATCTGTGATGAGGGTAGGGGGAGGGGCCCCCTTGATGAGGTCACTCAGGGGACCCCCTTGCTGACCAAGGAAGAGCTGCGGGGTGTGGGACTGGCATGGTGGCTCTGTTTCTGCTGTCAGCACCTCCTGTTTCACCATCACCGCTTTCTTTGGCACTGAGCTTGGATCTGAAGTGTCCATTTGGCTAGTGGTGGACACAGGGTTGAATTGATCCGTTTGGCCATCAGGCAGCCCTGCAGACTGGCAACTCGGAAACCCGTTTTCACTCTTAATCTGGGTGCCAAGAGCCACTGGACTAGAGGCAGGGACTACTCCGGTTTCCATGGCTAGTAGTGGCTGCTGAGACCGTTTCTCCTGTTCTAGCTGCAGCCTCAGCATCTCCACCAGCTGCTGCTTCTGTTTCAGCATTCGGGTGAGTTCCTCAATCTGCCTGTCCTTCTCCTGCAACATCTGATCTTTATCCTGGACCTCCATATCCTTGCTGCTGCTGATGCTGCACCGCTCCAACCTGGGTGCTGGATTTAGGCTGCAGGAGGTAGCCTTAGAGCTCTCTTCCTTCATCAGGAACTGCACTGGAGATGCCTGCAGGGTAAGCTGGGTCAGAGGCGAAGTCACCGTCTCTCCAAAGGCATCTCCAGTGGCAGAGTTCTCCTCCCCAGTGCTCATCTGTGAGCGCTCTGAGGGGGTGGGCGAAACAGGTGGTGTTGAGCCTGTGCTCCCAAACTTCATCATGCCATTGCTGGTGACGGTGGCCACAACTACCTCTGTTGGTGCAATGCCAGTAGTGACCAGGGCCGGCCCAGTGCTCAGTCTAGCAGCTGGGAAGGCTACCACCACCTCAGCAGCTTTTGGGAGGATGGCTGTTGCACTGGGCTTGGGATTGCTGGCTGTTTGGCTGCCATTCTGCTCTTGGTAAGCTCTGAGCCGCTCAATCAGGTCCGTCTTGGTGCCTGAGACAGGCAGCGCCCTCATCTTCAATTCTTGCTTCAGCTCTGCCACCTAAGAAGGGGAAAACTGTGTTACAACTAAAAGAAAACCTACCGCAACCGGACCTGCCTTTAACACATATGTGAGTCATGAGACAAGGGACTGAACTGACAACCCGGCAGACTCAGGGGTCCTTTATTCCCACACCCCAGGTACAGCAGCAATGCAAGCTGCCACTACATACTGCCCTCTCAGTGTGCCACAGCCCAGCTCCGGAGCGGCCACCTCATTCAGTCCTTGCCTTCTCAGCTGACAATGCCAATAAGGGGCCAATTAGTTTTAGTGCTGATGGCAGCATGGACATTTACCTTCATTTCATCTAGGTTGGTGGGGAGAGGGCCCGGTTTACCCACTGTGGCATTACTGTTTTGTCGCATCAGCCCACTAGAACTAGAGGATACAGAAGATGCGCTGCTGCCGGTAGCAGAGAGACTACGCATAGCAGGGGCACTAGTGCCACTCTGTTGCTCTCCTGGAGGCCTGCAGGAAGAAAAAGTGTGGATATCAGAATCAAGGTGGAAGGGATCCTCATAGCCCACCAGCTGTGCTGAGAAGCCAAACAAGGACATTTGCAGCACTGTGTTTTCTGTGGAAACATCTAGGGCACCAGCACCCCCAGTGTTAAAGCACGCCAATAAATACCTTCTGACTGTACCGATATACTCCACTCTGGCCACTGAAAAACCAACTAACTTCAGCTGCTCTTGCCTGACAGATTCACCCAACACAGACCACTTCTTGAGGGTGACAGGAACTTGCCAGGATTTACAACTCCTATGCCTCACACCTTCCGAGCTCAATGTGCTTGGGATCTGATGAACTTACTAAGGGAGCGAGTCCCTCACAAGGGGTGGGGAGAGGCAGGAGAGGATCGTGGGCAGTGCAGTAAGTCCCGTCCTTTGGCAGGGCAGATAGGATGGTCTGGTAGCTAGTGCAGCTCATGGAGACCATGAGTAGGGATGGGAGGGCAGGGGGTTCCATACGGATGAGTAGAGTTGTGGGACCCGTACTTTGGTGGGGCTGGCAGGATGGTCTGATAGTTGTAGTGCTGCTGCTGCTGCTGGTTGAGGATCTGGAGCTGCAAGAAGAGCTGTTGCTGCTGCAGTATTTTGGCATAGGATGAGTCCATGGGGGGAGCCCCTTTGTCCTGCTTTTGGTCCGGGGGGATGTACTGGTGGTATTTGAGCTTCTTGACTTTCGGCTTCAATTCCTTGGCTTTTTTACTGCGCTGAGACTTCTCGCTGGCAGACTTGGGCTGGCTTTGCTATTCAATGAGAGAGGGAGGGGAGGAAGAAAATAAAAATAGATGTAGCAGATGCACTGGGATAGCATTAACATATAACCAAAACCTGCAGGCAAACCAGGCTTTTTACTTCAAAACTCTCTCCAGATTTGACTCCGGGGCCTTTCCACATTCTTAAAGCAGGAATAATAGTACACACTCAGCAGCTCGGCTAGCTCCAGGACCTTACACAGCACCAGAACAAGGGTACAGAGTCAAGAACACAAGAAGGATTACCACAGCGCAACAGACCATTGAACAATTAGCCCAGACTCCTTCTCCCTGACCATGGTCAAAGCTAGATGCTTCAGAGGAAAATTTTAATATCTAGGACCCTTGGCAACTGCACTATAATATGTTTGGAAGGGGGGAGACACCTTCCTGTCCTAATCCCTGTCTCAATGAGCTCCTCTCTAACTGAAGAAGATCTAGACATTGATCCATCTCAAGCCCGGGGAAGGTCCTACAAGTAGAAACCAGGGGGAGACAGTGAAAGATGAAAGATGTTCTTCCAGCACCTCAGCATCTCTTAGTCTAACACTCCCACTCTCTACCATCCCCAGAGCAGCCACATTAACGTCTATACAAATGGAGTGACATCCCCCACACTCCCATACCTTAATGAGTGTTGGTGGGGGCTTGGCAGCAGGAATAGCGGCTCTGTTGGCGAAGCTAGGAGGCAGCAGAGGTGGTGGTGGAAGAGGAGGGAGTGGCTGTTCAGGTAGGAAAGGTGTTTCATTGGAGTCTGCATTGATCTGTAACTGGGACACAACCTGCAAGGGGAAGAAAGAGCATCACTCAGACACAGACACACAGCTAAACGTTTTCTCTCCACTGTTACAATGTTGCCCTCATTTCAGAAAGCAGGGGGCTGTAGGAGCATTCCACTAAAGTTGCTATACACGGGTTACCAGACATTAAATGGCCACCTGGCTTCTTAATCCACTCCCTGAGATCCTCTTGTCCAGCTTGGGGAAAAGCACGCTTCAGTGGGATCAAAGCATCCTAGAACAAGGAAGGAATCAAAGCCCACTTCTAACTCTATGCCCCTCCTCCTTTTGCCTCCCAGGAACAGTCACATACACTTAATACACACGGCATTACCAAGCAACCATTCCCACTACCAATCCCCAACAGGGCATAACTAGGTGCCCTCTCCTATCACTTCTAGGGAATCACTGGAAGCCCATTCCCACTGCAGCTACCCACAGGGGCACCAGACACATGGTTTTGCTGGTACCACTTAGAACTTAGACATCTCATGTGACTTCAGTGATATCTCACGGATGTATTACTGAGGAACAAATCAGTCTCTTAGCAGTGACACCTTGTAGATATCTCTATGCCTCATCCCTCATTCAGGGATCCAGGCATTTGCACTGCCCCAATCTAATAATGGTTCTGAGGTGCCAGAGAGCAGCAAGAGTCAACACTCGGCATTGTTACCTGAGCTGTTGATGACACAGTGGTGCTGGGAAGCGGCTCACCAATCCGGGCGTCCATCGGTGATGGTACAGATCCCTGGGACTCATGGCTGGCTGGCTGCTCTGGGGACAGGGCATCACTGCTGTCCTCGTCAAAAGAGGAATTGTCTGCAACCTTTGGGTAGTTCACCTGCCCAACTGAAAACAAAAGGTAATTTCAAACACTGAATATATAACAGTCACCACTGGCCAGCGGGGGGCAGGCTGGGCTGTCTGTTTTAGCTTAAATCCCAAACCCAAGAGATAAGAGAATAAAGCACAGACCTGAGCCTTTCCAGGGTACTTCCCTTCTCTCTGCGGAATCAGTACTATTGGTCAACAGTATCAAGTGCTACAGAGTAGTCTCGCAAGAGTATGGAAACACTTCCCTTGTCTATGGACAGGGTCATCCACTAGAACAACTGTTGCTGCTTCTACCATACCCTGAGGCCTAAAGGCTGACTGAGAAGGATCCAGGGCAATGGCACCTGACAAGGGGCATTGGGGACTTGGTTTGGTGGCGTCTCAATGAGGGAGGTTAGGTGTTAGTTTGCATTATCTAGTCTCAAGTAATGATTTCTTTAGTGTTGGCCAGCTGCATGCTATAGGATAGGAAGGGGCGGGCAAACTTTTTGGCCTGAGGGCCGCATCGGGTTTTGTAAATTGTATGGAGGGCTGGTTAGGGGAGGGGGTCGTGGTCCGGCCCCCACCTCCTATCTGCCCCCCCATACATGGGACTCCTGCCCCATCCAACCCCT